GATAATCCAGGCAGCTATGAGCGTAGGGGTAATCTACTGAAGGCTGTGCTGGGCTTGGAGACTCCAAGTCTACTTCTGGGTCTCTCAGGCAGTCTTGTTGGAGAGGAAAGAAGGTACCCACGGGGCTACTGATGGAATGAGGAATTGCAGCCCTGAAAAAAACAAGACGTTCTCAGTCCTTGAAGGGCAGTTTGCGTTATATAAGTCTGAGGCGGAATGAGTCATTTCCTAGCCATGTGTCCTGGGCCTAGCAGCAGATTAAATGAAGGGCACAGGTCAAGGATCCAGCACAACCCTGGGCACACTGCCTGGGCGGCGAAGATCCTGACTGGAGCCTCACGGTTAGCAGCAAAACATGAGAAACTGTTCACCCATTACGCCATGTCCGTGTGCTGCTAGAGCACAAAACAAGATGCGTGTGGGGATAGCACAAGAGAGTATAATGTGAGGGACCTTACAGACTACGTGAGAAAGCCAGTCACCCCACTCCTGAGCTTTGGACACAGACACAGCTGGAACCCAGTCCCTCCTCTCTACGCGACAGACCTCGGGCAAAGCTCTCTGTGGCTCCAAACTTCAGAGGCTGACCTTAAGAGGCGCACAGAGATGTGAGCCCTCACTGGTTAGCTGTATTAGTGACAGAGCTGCAGGTCGGCAGTGGTAGAGCGCCCAGCGCCTGTGACTGCAGCGCGGCTGGCTTGGGTTGCAGCTCCTACAGCACCGTGCGGTCGATATCGGGCCACATTACATGAAGGACGGTGAGGCTCAGAAGCGTTGAGCCAACGCCCACAGCCCCCAGGGTGTCACAGGCCAGGAATCAGGATTCAGTCACAAGCCTTCAGCGTCACCCGACTGTGGGACTTTACATCTAGGAGAGCCATCCCGGGACATGGGCCCTGTGTCTGAGGGGACTCCCCAGACAAGTCCAGCAAAAGTCAGGATATCTCAGGAGCGAGTGGTTCTCACCTCTTGGGGGCTTTGGCACACTTCTGAATCCTGGCTTCATCTGAAGTCCAGAACCTTCCGTGGAGGAGCAGACGAGTCAGTGACGATCGCCAGCCCCCTTGGGGGCCCCATGAGCTCTACCGCCTTCTGTCGCATCCCGTGTGCCCTGCCCCACACTGAGCAGGGCCGACCTGCATGACTGACAGAGCCTCAGCTCTCGCTTCAGAGGCTGCTGTTAGAGAGTGGAGCCTTCCTTCCGCTGGAGAAGCCTGTGTTCATGTTGTGAGGACCTTCAAGAAGCCCTACAGAGAGGCCCAGAGGGCAGAAGCCAGGGCCACCACCAACAGTCCCAGGACCAAGTGTGCCATCCTGGAAGCAGCTTTGCCGGCCCCCATCCAACTTCAGGTGACTGCAGACCTGGCTGACACCTGGCCTGCAACTTCGTGAGCAACTCCAGGCCCAATATGTCATCCTTGAAACCGTGATGCACAGAAGTGGCGACCTTAGGTAGGCACTGCTTTAGGCCACGAAGCTTGGGGGTAATTCGCTACTACCAACAGGTAACTAATACAGCTACACGACTGCAGAACAGTGCTTCAAATAACTGAAAAATAATGGCTATCCCGGGGATGAACTCACCTCACTGCTGGATGTCTTCACCCAGCCAAGTCCTCACGGCTCCACCTCCCTCTGCGGCAGCTTTGCCACAGGCTCCCCATCTGTCTTCTGTCTTCTGACTTGGAGCAAGGCGATGGCTTTCTGCACGTTTTTTATGACATAGTTCAAACAAAAAATACAGGTACCAGGTATACTCTGGCTTTTTTATTTTGTTTTCTTTTGTTTTTTGAGACAGGGTCTCACTATGTAGTTGAGACTGACCTGGAACTCACTATGGAGCCCAGGCTGGTCTCAAACTCACAGCGATCCTCCTGCCTCAGCCTCCCGAGTGCTGGGGTTAGAGGCATGTGCACCACCACGCGCGGCTACTCTGGCTTATGATACAAAAGAACTTTATGCACTGGTGAAAAACTGGAGGAGCCCCTCGGAGGCTTACCGGCTCCATCACAAGCTGGAGAAGGACCATTTCACCCTCTCTCCACACAGCACCTCTGTTCTCCTGGCCTCACCTCACAGTCCTCTGAGGTCTGCCCAGGACACCCCGGCTGCACCACTCCCACCTTCTGTGGGGATATCTGCTTTTCATACAGCAGGGCAGCGGGACGGACTTGCAGGTCTGCACTTGGGTCACCCTTGGCAAATTCCTCAGCTCCTTCTGTCCTTAGTGTCCTCTGTCACGAACCCCATGGCCCCTTCCCCACCAAGCTGCTGAGAGATCAGATGGGGAGAAGAACTGTTCAGAACTTAGCAGGGTGCCTGGCCATTGTGAGTGCTCATCATTTTATTGCTAAAATAATAGCAATAGTGGCAGGCACTTACTCCGGATTGCAACATGCTTAGCATGCTTTACGTTATGATGTCATTTAGCCCTGCGAGGCAGGGTCTCTTGGTGTCTCCACGCCGAAATGACGAGAATAAGGCACAGAGAGGTAAAATGCCTTGCCCAGGATGACACAGCCTCAGGTTACCGGGCAGTGGCACACTCATCCCTAACCCCTTTGCTCCCCGACAAGGACCACAACAAAGACCCTGTGAACACCGGGGAAGCTGCAGGGGCTGGGAGAACGGGATGGGGCAGAGCAGCAGAGGCACGAAAGGCCACCGCGAGCATTGTCCCCTGTGTCTGACCTGTACTGAGTCCCGGCCCCTGCCCTGGGGCGGGCCCTGCACCTGCCCTCCCAGCCCTGCCCCGTCTGAAGGCTGCATGGACACCAGGCCCAGGCCCCGGCCCAGGTTTGGGCCTGAGGAGCCCTCTGATGTCTCCACCTTGTCCTTCCTGAGCCGGCACCTGCTCTGGCTTCGCAGAGCTCTTGCTCAGTAGGTTCAGGTTCTGCCTGACGGAGAAAGTCAGGCTGTTTTATTTGCAAAAATGAAGTAGGACAAGCTATAAGAGCACACAGTGGGACCAGGCCGGGTCCCGCACTGAGCAGTGTTCCCGCTGAGCAGAAAAGCAGACACAGCAGCTTCCCCAGTGCTGGCTCCGGGCCACCCAGGGTTTTCTGGCTTGGGTGCCTCTTCTCCGGCTCTGACCCAGGGAGCACTGGGACCGCAGTGTAATAAGGGCTGTGGAAGTATCTACTAGGTGCCAAGCCAGGTGTTTTCTGTAGCCGTAGAGTTGCTGGCCTGCGGCGGAGATAAGGGACTGCTGAGAAAGCGGAGGGAACAGCTGAAGTCACTGGACAGAGCCGAATCAGTGTGGCCGCATTCATCCCGGGACAGGACGGTCCAGCACGGCGGATCTCCATCAGGGACCACTTTGACTCTGAGTGGTATTTGGAAAGGTCAGAAAACATATCTGTTCGTGCATATGGGGAAAGAGGCGTACTGACATCTCATGTGTAAAGGCCAGGGGTGCTGCTGAATATCCTACAAAGCACACGACAGTCCCACGAGGTCAAGTTATCTGGCCCTAAGTGACAACAGTGGTGAAAAGGCTGGGGCTTCTGGAGTTCAAGGATGGGCTCTCACCCTCTGGTCTCCCCTCTGTAAATCAGGGACAGTGTCCACGTCCTGCAACTGACCCGAGGCCTGTGAGTGCTCTCTGAAGGCGGGCATATAGCAATGCTGCATCAGTGTTGCTATGTTAACTCCCGAGGACGAGCTGTGTGGAACCCAAGATAAACCACGGAGAGTCAGAGGAGCAGCAGCGCAGCCTGCGATGACCGGCTCTGGCATCCAAGGCCTTCCGTGGTCTTGCTTCTGCTTGTGGTGCTGGCTGTGCTCTCATGGCTCCGGGGGTCTCTCCGGCGGGCCAGCACACTGGGCTCCTCCTACCACACGGTCCCCATCCTCCTCGGCTCCCCTTCAACAGCCCAGCCCTTTAGAGCCTCGTGGCCCTTACTGAGGAGGGGACGGTGGGCTAATGGTGGGGCAGCTAGCTATGGAGGTGCATCACAATTCAGGCACAGGGCTGGGGAAGTAGCTGAGCGCTAGAATATCGGCCTGGCACGCACAAGGCTTTGAGTCTGATTCGCAGAACTGAAAACAAGCCAACAAACGACGAGACACGCAATCCTATTCGTCCAGACTGTGAAAAGCGCATTTATTCTCCTTTAGACAAGACACACCCGTCAAAACACGTCACAGGACTGACCACAGATATAACCCCATTCACACATACGCAAACGGTGTGCAATCTCACAAAAACTCACGTACAGTCACACACACGCTGCTGAAACAGTGTATCGAAGGATCTGCTGTCACACATACAGAAATCCATAAATATACGCACCTACAACTATTTAAATACAAACTCAGGGAAGTCCACAGGTCCCATGAATACACAACATTTAGGCACAGAAATACCTGTACTTACACACAGAAAAATATTACATGTGCGTGATGCAGTGATACAAACACTCCTATCTGTTCCTCCAAACACACACAAACAGATATCTAGAGACATCTTGAACAGGCTTTCCGTTGCTTTGCGGACACATTTCATTCCTTCATCCTTTATAATACAAGACTTGCTAAGCAGCGTCCCCAGGGGCACCATCCAAATTCATTCCGGTCCTCCAGCCACTCGTGCGGACCACACGCACACAGTCGGCCCGCCTCTCCCTTT